AGGCCGCTCATGAAACCTCCTTACAGGCCCAATGTAACGGCCCAAATGTACCGCTCAATGGCTATTTTGGACGTGCAACTCTCCTTTTGATCTTGATCAAAACGTCGTCGTTCTGCCATGGCTCGGTTTGGTTCCGTGCTTAATTAATTAGTTAATTAATTTTTAAATAATTAATACTTTAATTTAACTTTTTCAAAATTTAAAAATTTAATAAAAATTCAATGCATATATATATATATATGGGCCTATAAAGTGGATGATAATGATAACGAGTACCGAGTCTACAAACAGGCAAGTGCTCGGTAGGCTAATAGCCTAGTGAACGGGGTGAGGCACTCAACAAAAGGGACACATTAAGCACGTACGAGAAATTGGTCCCACTCAACTTTATGAAAAGTAACGACCATCACGGGAGGTCAAATCCAAAGACCTATGTAAGTTAGGGCTCGTCCCGATCAATATTAAGTCGTTTCATTTTAATTTTCAACCTTCTCAACATTGGTTAATCTCATTAACATATTATTTTATTATTATTATTATTTTAAAATATATTAAAATAATAAAATATGGTGGAAGTGGAAGTTTTTGAGTGTTGGCGTGCAAGTTTTTAATGGATGGGTTGACTTTTGATTGCATTGACCAATTGCCTTCATTCAGTGGTCCAAAACTTTTTAACACAAAATTATGACATATTTTGAAAATTTTATTAAATACGGTGTCGTATTGATTAAATATGAGATTAAAAAAATGCATTTTTCTTGACAACAAAAATTATTAAATTTCAAAATATATTTTGGTTTTTTTTTTTTTTTACGATTTAATTAATACATACCATCAAGATTGGATATTCAAATTCTTTTAGTTTTGAATATTATTAAATTAAAATTAAAAAAAATTAATTAATTAATAATACGAAATTAATGGTCGTGCCTAACTGCATTAACATTATAAATTAAAGTTCGACTACCCTATTCTAAAGTTTGGCTTGGAACTTAATTTCATTCCGTGCGTGAAAAAAACGTGTATAGAATTGGTAAGTGAGATTATAGGCAACATTAGACATTCTGTAAATTTAATTTTAATAATATATTTTCAAACTAATCTAAATTTATCGTTAATTTTGAAATAATATATTTTATCACTGAACAATTATATATACATATATTGTGAAATCTCCATCGGAGGAACAAAACATTTTTTATAAATGTGTGGAGAGCTAAAATAAGACAGTATCGGTTAATGGTGGGTTTGGGCGGTTACAAATGGTATTAGAGCCAAACATCATGTTATGTGCTAGAGAGAACGTTGAGATCCTACATCAACCGGGCAGGGGACTAAAGTATTCAAGGGTAACATATATTTATTTTCTTTTTATTTAATTTTATAAATTTTTATTATTCATTTCTAACTGCCCATAAAAATAATTTCTAATTATTTAAAAGATCATTTTTTTAAAATATATATTAAAATTAAGTCGTAAATCTTAATTAAATATTTAAAACTTTATAAACAAATATTTTATTTTAATTAAATATAAAAATTTATGGTTGAATTTATTATTTAACAACGGATATTTGAATTGAAAAAAATATATAACTCGAACAATTGGGTTAATCTAAAAATTGTTTCAACCCGACTCAACCCAACTCATACACCCTATTGCACCTTTGACGGCTCGACTATCGCTCAAAAATGGTATATGGGTCTCTTTATTTATATAGTGGTCGGCCTGATAGCAGCTTGTATTTGACAATCGTGTCCCCTCTATCTAGCAAGGCAAGTGGCGGAGAAACCAGACTTTTAATAGGTCAACCATTTTTTATGCACCGTTTTACTTTAAAAAGAAAATGAGCTTTGCTCTTTTGGGCTCCGACCACTCGTGTGGTAATGAAAAAGGACTATTAATTAAAATCACGAAAAATAAATAATTTAATAAATAAAATTAGATGACAAGGATGGCACTAAGGTTTTGGATTTTTATTTTATTTTGTTTTATTTAAATTTCAAAGTCAAAAATGGCGTCTTCCCATTGGATGACTCCACACAGCCAATCAAAATTAGAGCCTCATTTTCAAAGGCTCGACTTTGACTTTGACTTTGACTTTGAACTAGTCAATTTTATAAAGCAAGGAGGAGAAATGAAGGGAAGAATTGTCCACATATTTCATAGCCATTTCGTTTATTATTATTATTATATTTGTTTTTTATTTTATAATATGCTTTTGAACTTTGGTTTATAATAGTTACTTATATTCATGTTTTAATGTTTTTTTTTTAAATTTGGTTTAACTTCAATAATATTAAAAAATATATATGGTTTCAAATTTTGAATTTTTTTTTTTAAAAGCTGACTCGAGTTTAATATTAATATATATATATATATATATATTTATTGGTAACGAGTGAAAAACCATACAATAAAATATTAAGATTTTATTTTATAGCGATTTCATTTTTTATTTTTTTATTATGGTCTTCAAAAAATTAAATTTTATTTAATTTAATTTTTAACCCATAGTTTATATTTTAAAAAACTTTGTATTAAAACGAAAGTATTATCTTAATTTTCAAAAAAGAAAAATAAAAAAAATCATCAAATTGAGTCTAAATAACTATATTTAAAACAAATAAAATATAGTAAAATTACGTTTGATAGAAAACGCAGCCTCCCGTGGCTTATTATAATAAGCCTTGTGGACGTTGACCTCCAAAAAAATTATTTATAGGTTTAAAATTACTCTGGATTTCTTATTTTTCATGAAAATAAAAAATTAATCACTAAATTTTAGACTATTGACGAGTAGCCAATTCAAGCATAGCTTAGTGAATAAGATACTAATAATCATTTTATAAAAAGTCAACTATTTGACTCGAACGAGGGTTCGATCAAATTTAAAAGGGCTAATAATAGTAAAATTGATAGCACAATCAAAGTATGCTTAAATTGGTAAGTTTGATCTTCGTTTCAAATAGAAAAACAAATATCGACCTTATTTGGTCAAGCGTTTAGGTTTTGCTTCAAAAGACAATTGGTGGAAGCACTCAATTCCCTCGCCTACTTTTTCTCGTGTTTGGAAAAAAATCATTCTAAAAATGTGATAAGCTGGAATTTAAATTCTCGAGGTTGATTCTATTGTAATATCACAAAATTATTATTATTTTTTTATAAAAAAATTAAAAACGACTTGAAAGAAATAAGAAGATAGTATCGTGTTATTAAATTTATTAATTTAGATTATTCGGATATTTATTTTTTTAATATTCTTTTCAATAACAAAATAATAATAATAATTTCTTGGAGATAAACAAATAATAATAATTTCTTTGTCCTCCTTAAAAAAGGGTAAAAGAGAGAAAAAAAAAATTGCTAAAAAAATCTTCCAAAAAAGATGACCGGCTACTGTTCAAACCAGTATTCGAAGATTTAATAAAAATAAATAGTAATTATTATATTAATCAATAAAAATATTTAGAATGGAAATCTTCTTTCAAAGTTTTACCAAATACTTTCAATTTTTTTAAATAAAAAATTTTAAAAAATATTCTAGAACAATTGATAATATAAGAATTTTAAAATTAAAAAAAAATTAATGGTATTTAGAAAAATTCATATATCTTTTTAAAATAAATATAAGAAGGTTAACTAAATTTTTGAAAATTAAATAAGTTAATTGAGTAATTTTTTTAAAACTAAATATTAACGGTTTCCATCCAAAATTAACGGGCGAAGGTATTTTTGAAATTTTTTAAAAAGTTGAAGGGTATTTTTTTTATTAAGTTATATAAAAAAGGTTGATTTTTATGTGAAATAAATATATTTTTATTTATAAAGATTTTTACCGTAATATTTAGGTAAAAATGTTGGAAAATATCAAAACGACAAAGGAAAAGACCAAAACGACCAAACCGCCAATCAAGTGGAGCAAATTTTCTCACAAACCATCAAATGACCAAAATACTTTGAAAAAATGAACACACCATGCGCAGTCCACATTGAAACACGAGGCCACTCTTCAAGACTATTATGATTTTTAAATTATATAAAAATCCCTAAACTTTAGTGAGTTTACGATTATGCCCCTATACTTAAGAAGAATTCCATTTTTACCCTTAACGTTAACTTTATATTTTATCTAAAAAAAATATTGACTTTAAAAAGGTTCGTTATTACCCTTCAAAAAATACTCATAAAATTTTAAAAATAGCATTAACACCTTAATAGAAAAAAATTAAAATTATTATTGTTATTATAAAAATATCTATAAACTTTTAAAAATTTTATTAATATTTTTTAATTAGTTTAAATTTTTTTAAAAATTATTATTGTTATTATATGGGCTCGATCCCTTTCTTTCCCGTTTTTGCCCCCATGTCGCCACATGGGAGGGACATGGGGACGTAAAAAAGGGGATCCTATCAACTTGTCCCGACCTAGTATAATAAGCTCATGAGCTTAGTCCTACCTCACCATCGAGAAACGAAAGAAGACTTCCATTTCCAAGTTTAACTCAGACGTAACTCGCTTTTTTTTTTTTTTTTGTGTAAAGCAGTGTCAAACCAAAATACCCAACTAGCATTAGCTCACCCCGAAAAAGAGGTGATCTAGCCGTACCTTCCTGTATAGCTACCTTGTTACAACTTCACTCCCGGCACTAGCCCTACCTTTGGCATCCCCCTCTTGCGGTTAAGGTAACGACTTCGAGCATGGCCAGCTCCCATAGTGTGACGGGCAGTGTGTACAAGGCCCGGGAACGAATTCACTGCCGTATGGCTGACCGACAATTACTAGCAATTTCCGCACACCTTATAAATTACTAACAATAAAAATATTTTTAAATTAAAAAAAAAAAATTTAAGTTATTAATATTTTACGGTAACTTCTGGAAGGTGGAAATCCAAATTTCAAAATTTTATTATTTTATGAAATATTTCCACAAATTACATAATATTTTATATATTTGGAAGTAAAAAGGGCAAAATTTGGAAGAGGAAGAAGACTTGTCGCAAAGCAGAGCAGGGGGCCACAGGTCCACAAGTCAATGGCCGCCCTCTCATTTCTTCTCCGATCTTCATTGCGTTCACTTTTAAATTCAATACTCATAAACACTCCTTGTCTTCACTGTGTCGTCTTAATAAACCCTTTTAATCCGATCTTAAACGGATTCCGATGCAAAAAAAATGGCAAATCCTCCTCCAAAATCCTTCATAAAGGCGGCAACTCTGTTTCTGTCTCTGTTTCTCTTCTCTCCGCCGTCTGTGGCTGTTGATTTCTTAACAGCCTCACAAAACCTCACCGGCGCCGCCACTCTGGTGTCGGAGAAAGGGTTTTTCGAACTGGGTTTCTTCAGCCCTAGAAATTCCACGAATGTTTACTTGGGAATTTGGTATAAAATCATCCCAATACGTACGATCGTTTGGGTTGCGAACAGAGAAAACCCCATTGTTGATTCTTCCGCTGCTGTTCTTAAAATCAACACTACAACGAATGTTCTTGTTCTCTTGCAGGATAACGCCGTTGTTTGGCTTGCAAATACGTCGAAATCGGTAGAGATTCCGAAACTCCAGCTCTTGGACAATGGAAATCTGGTGTTGAAGGACGCTAAATCGGAGGTAATTTCATGGCAGAGCTTCGATTATCCAACGGATACATTACTACCCGGAATGAAGCTTGGATGGGACTTCGAAAATGGAATCCAACGCCGGTTATCAGCATGGAAAAGCTCCGATGACCCATCTCCGGGGAGTTTAACCATGGAAATGATGAACACAAACTACCCAGAACCGGCGATGTGGAATGGCTCGAAAGAGTTCATGAGGAGTGGACCATGGAACGGTCTTCAATTCAGCGCAAAACCCACCTCGGCCTTACCGATTTTGGTCTACAGCTACGTAAACAACAAATCCGAGCTCTCTTACAGCTATGAACTCATAAACTCCTCATTAATCGGAAGAATGGTGCTGAATCAGACGCTGACGAGAAGAGAGGCATGGATATGGTCGGATTCTGAGAAGAATTGGAAGCTATATGCAACTATGCCGAGGGATTACTGCGACACCTACGGGCTTTGTGGAGCGTTTGGGAGCTGCAACATTGAGCTAACACCAGCTTGTCAATGTCTACAAGGGTTTCATCCAAAAGTGCCTGAGAAGTGGAATTTGATGGATTATGCTGATGGGTGTGTAAGAAATAAGCCCTTGAATTGTTCTTCTACTGATAAACTTGGGTTTGCGCAGATTCCTGGGCTGAAATTGCCTGATACTCAGCTAACTTGGGTTAATGAAAGCATGAGCTTAAACGAGTGTAGAGACAAGTGTTTGAGGAACTGTTCTTGTGTGGCATTTGCCAATACTGACATCAGGGGCTCAGGGAGTGGCTGCGCTATTTGGCTTGGGGATCTTATTGATATCAAAGTGGTTCGAAGAGGGGGCCAGGATTTGTATGTTAGGATGCTGGCTTCTGAATTGGGTATGTTGTTTTTTCTGTTCTTTGTGTTCTTTTGTGGCTTTCTTTGTTAGCTAAGCTTTGTTTCTTGTGTGTAGAGACGAAGAAGAAGACGAGCTCGGTTGTCGTCGGCGTTATCATCGGAGCGACCGTTCTGGTGATTGCTGGTCTGGTTTTGATTGGGTTTTACATCATTAGAAGCAAGAGGAGAAGCCTTGAAGGTAAATTCTGTTCGTACTGATAAGTTGATGGTAAAGGTTAGTTCATGTGCTTATGAAGTCACTACAATGGCAACAGGAATGGGCAAGGATCTTGGACAGCAAGAAGACTTGGAGCTTCCATTCTTGGACTTGGCAACTATATCCAATGCCACAGACAATTTTGCAAGCTACAATAAGCTCGGAGAAGGTGGCTTCGGTGCAGTTTTTCGGGTAAACTTTACGAGTATCGAAGAAAACATGTTTTTAAGTGCTTAGAAAGTTTAACGGCCCAAACTCACGGTTAGTAGATGTTGTCTTCTTTGGGTTCTTCCTTTCGTGCTTCCCCTCAAGGTTTTAATGCATGTTTGCTAGGGAGAGGTTTCCGGACCCTTATAAGGAATGTTTCGTTTCCCTCTCCAACTGATGTGGGATCTCACAATTCACCCTTCTTGGGCCCAACGTCCTCGTTGACACATCGCCCGGTGTCTGGCTTTGATACCATTTGTAACAATTCTATCGCTAGTAGATATTGTCATCTTTGAGTTTCTCTTTCAGACTTTTACTCAAGGTTTTAAAACGTGTCCGTTAGGAAGAGGTTTTCACACCCTTATAAGGAATGGTTTGTTCATCTCTCCAACCGATGTGGGATCTCACAATTCACCCCCCTTGGGGCTCAACGTCTTTGCTTGCTGACACATTGTCGGTGTCTGACTCTGATACTATTTGTAACAGTCCCACCGCTAGTAGATATTGTTCTCTTTGGGCTTTCTCTTTCGAACTTCCCCTCAAGGTTTTAAAACACGTATGCTAAGGAGAGGTTTTCACACCTTTATAAGGAATGTTTTGTTCTCCTCCCTAACTGACGTGGGATCTCCCAATCCACCCCCTTGGGGTTCAACGTCCTCGCTGGCACATCGCTCGGTGTTTGGCTCTGATATCATTTGTAACAGTTCCACCGCTAGCAAATATTGTCATCTTTGGGCTTTCTCTTTCAGACTTTCCCTCAAGGTTTTAAAACGTGTCTGTTAGGAAGAGGTTTCCACACCTTTATAAGGAATGTTTCGTTCATCTCCAACTGATGTGGGAACTTACAATCCACCCCTCTTGGGGGCCCAACGTTCTCGTTGGCATATTGCTCGATATCTGACTCTGATACCATTTGTAACAGTCTCACCGCTAGCAAATATTGTCCTCTTTGGACTTTTCTTTTCAAACTTCCCCTCGAAGTTTTAAAACACGTCTGCTAAGGAGAGGTTTTCACACCCTTATAAGAAATATTTCATTCCCCTCTCTAACTGACGAGGAATCTCAGAGAAAGTCATTTCAAACAAGTCGATAAACTTACACTTTCACTTTCAGGGTAGGCTTGCAGATGGACAAGAAATTGCAGTAAAGAGACTTTCTAGCTATTCGAGACAAGGAACCGAAGAATTTAAGAACGAAGTGATACTCATCGCCAAACTTCAACATCGAAATCTCGTAAAACTTCTCGGTTGTTGCATCGAAGGAGAGGAAAAGATGTTGATTTATGAGTACATGCCCAACAATAGTTTGGACTCCTTCATATTTGGTTTGTATCTATTGAGATTCAACGTTATTGTTTTCGTTTCTCTTTGATTCCCGTTTCGAGAACTAACTTTGGCTACTCGTTTTAATTCTTCAGATAACGATAGAAAGAAGCTTTTAGATTGGTCGAAACGATTCAATATCATATGCGGAGTAGCTCGAGGGATTCTTTACCTTCATCAAGATTCGAGATTGAGAATTATACATAGAGATTTAAAAGCAAGTAACGTCTTGCTTGATATCGATATGAATCCGAAAATCTCGGATTTTGGAATGGCTAGAACGTTTGGAGGGGATCAAACCGAAGGAAATACTCGGAGAGTGGTCGGAACGTAGTAAGTTTCTCTCCCACGAAACTTCAAATTTTTTTAATCCTTAAGTTTCATGTTCTTCGGTTGACGTTTTGTTTGTCTGTATGATATCTTGTAGTGGGTATATGGCACCAGAATACGCCATTGACGGACAGTTTTCCATCAAATCAGATGTCTTTAGTTTTGGGATTTTATTGTTGGAAATCGTAAGTGGAAAGAAGAACCGAGGAATTTTCCGCCCTAACCAAGCTCTCAACCTTATTGGACACGTGAGTCACGTAATTCGATCAATCACTCCAAAACTGCAATTCTAAGCTAATTAACGTTTTTTTTTTTTTTTTTTCGCTCAGGCATGGAAGTTGTGGAATGAAGGAAAACCATTAGAGTTGGTCGACGCAAGCATGGGAGAATCTTATGCTCTATCTGAAGTGTTACGATGCATTCATGTTAGTCTTTTGTGCTTGCAACAGCATCCCGAGGATAGACCGACCATGTCGAATGTGGTATTAATGCTAAGTAGTGAGAGTACCTTGGCACAACCGAAACAACCGGGATTTTACATGGAAACGGGTCCTGTTGAAGCATATTCTCATTCTAGCAAGAACGAATCTTCTACTAATGAATTAACTATTACGCTCATGGAGGCTAGATAACTATGTATTTTCCTCATATAGCTCTTTTTCAATGTTTCAAATTTGTTGATAATCATGAATAGAATAGACAAACGGGTAAAGCTCGTTTGCAAAACGACCCTTATCTCTTAAAGGGTTCAAAGAAGTCGAGAATCTATTTATATTTAGAGGATTTGGATACCAACTTGATACCTTTGTGAAGAGTTATGACCTCGATGAGTTCAATGAATCTTACTATAGTTTGAAAATTTTTCATCTCTTCTTGATGATATTGGGGTATCTCATAAATCTAATCGAGGCTCGATTGGTCTGTCGGTAGGGTTGAGCTATGAGAGAGAAGACACCGTGGGCTGAAGAGCTGGAGGGTAGTTTAATGTATTATTCATTGCTTCGACTAGGTCTTGTAGCTAACAAATTGGGTTCGTAGCATTGTGAATCTCTCCATCGAACATAAATGAGATGCTTTTGGGGCCAATGTGCTAGCGAACATTAACTCGTTCCCCCTTTCCAATCGATGTGGGTCTCACAATCCACCCACCTTTAGGGTTCGATGTCCACCCTTTTTGGGGCTCAGTGTCCTAGCTGACACACTGCCAAATTAGGTCCAAACATTCTTTCTTGCACTCGTTTCCCTCTCCAATCAACGTGAGATCTCACAGTCCACTTACATTTGGGGCTCAACGTCCTTGTTGGCACACCGCCCAGTGTCCACCCCCTTTAGGGCTTAGCGTCCTTGTTGACACACCACCCGATATCCACTCCCTTTGGGGCTCAACGTCTTTGCTGATACACCGCCCGGTAACCTAACTCTGATACCATTTGTAACCGTTCAAGCCCACTGCTAGCAGATATTGTCCTTTTTGTGTTTCTCATTTCGGGCTTCCCCTCAAAGATTTTAAAACATGTCTCATAGGGAGGTTTCCACACCTTATAAGAGAATGCTTCGTTCTCCCCCTCAACCAATATAAGATCTCAAAATTAGTATAGAGCATACTACTTCCTCACCCAAAACCTTTTTTTTTTTTTAATTTATTTTTTAAACTATGAATTAAAAAACTACTCCAATTTTGAATTATTTTTTAAAAATACATTAATTAGAAATTAAAAAAATACTCCTGGGATGTTAACAAAGAAAAGAAGAACTGCTTTATTAATTATTATTATTCTTCTTTTCAATTAAGCTTATTGTATGGGAATTCTCCGGAGATTTACTCTCAGCGGCTGCCGGCGACGATGAGAACGTCGGAATCAAAGCACCATGCGTCCATGTCGATAGAGGTTTAGTCTTATTTATTTCTCACAAATTTGAAACTGAACGTCCTGATCTCCGATCCAGGGAGCATCATTTTGGGGCGGGAAGTGCAAGGTCTAGTTTCTGGATGATTCTTTTGGAATAATGGCGGCAGTCTCAGTTAAGCAATCGACTGCGGACAGTAATTGTTAGTCATTACTTCACCTGCTTGTTGTTGTTAAATTATCAAGAGTGACAATGAGTTATTGCTTCAGCTTTTAATTCATTTTGAATTGTACTTCTCAAACTAATTATAGGCTAATTTATGCATTTGCTTTACCTGCCTTTTTATCAAGCTCAGGTTCTTAATGATTTTACTTGTCGTTCTTCAGAATTGAGTGCTCGCTCTATTGTTTCTTTAAATTAGTCTGTTTGTGTTACATTTTTCTTCATATAGTCAATTAGTTCTAGGGATTTCGATGTCTTTGCTGTGATGGTGATGTTATAGCATCGTTTTAGAATTTTTGAACGGACACGTTTAGAGGTAAGAAATTGTTCAATTATTCTTATTGTTTTAAATAAAAGAAAGATACTGTCGTTGATTGTATGAAAAATACTATTGTAAAAGAAGCCACTGCGATTGGCAGAATCAGAATGGTGTTGTGATTAGGGGGAGGATAGCAAAAAGAGCGCAAACATTTTATCATTTTCGTTAATCTCCACCTGCTATTTCCTCAAAAGATTATTTCTTCCGTCTCCAACCAAACCTTAGTGCTTAATCACGCATAACCACAACACCTGTAGTTTCTCCTTGAAAGGAATGCCATAAAAGAAGTTGTTAAACATAGGCAGCCAGGGAATCTGTGCCATATACCTTAGTGAACAAATCTAGGCATAATTGAGAAATAATTGGTGGTGTAAAGTCCCGAATCTCTAAAACCCCAACAAACTGAATCTTGTCCAGAGCAAAAGTGGTGGCAGATATTCATTTGAAGCTGCCACGGATTAAATTTTTGCTGCTTTCTTGAAGTGTTTGTTGCTCCTTATGGGATAGACTTCTAATCTTTGTATTTTTTCCTCACATTGATGTTCGTGAAGCCAGGTAGATCCCCTCTCCCCTCGAAACAATTCTAGTTTAGAAAGAACTAAAGTCTAATTGTTTTGACTAGTCAATGTATTCTAGTAAGTCATAATGCAAGCATAGGTAGCCTCATTTATCCTATTTGAATGAAAGGATAGACATGAAAAGCTGGTAAACCTGTCGAGGTAAAAAAAGTTGGTGCTTTGTGTTAAATGTGGATTATACTGTGTTAAACTCTCAAAATGGACTCTGATCAAAGTATGAACTTCAAACCCAAAAGTTCTTATTTTCTATGTTTAGTAACCAGAAGAGAAATCATGTAGGCATTTCTTTTCCTCTATTTTCTGGATCAATGATGCATGTCAACTGTTGTCTCACCGTTCTAGTAGGTTGCTACTATTGTGCACATAGTTTCTCAAGATTAATTATCTATCTGGAAGTTTCAGTGTTGATATAGCACACAGTTATCTTATAGAAAGGGGTAATACTTATATTGCTGCCTTTGGTAATTGATACTGGCATTTCTCGTATCATAATTGGACTTTGGTAATTGATAATATACAAGTTATAGAATTGGAACAGCAATCAACGGTAGAACGAGGGAAGATGGTATTTCTTTTTTTGTAATAATAAACAGTAAGAAGTCTATACAGTTTCTTTCTTATTTATAGCCACCATTTAAATTTAATTATAATTATAAAACGACGTATGCATATCTATAATTGCATTTAATCCAAGTCCTAAATTCTATTAGAACAAGCCCAATGTGATCGCACTAGTTCCATGAGTTCTGCTATGAGATTGAGGTAATTTTATTGAGCTTTCTTAATGGAAGAAATTGATAACTAAGGAACTTCTGTAATGAATTTATGTTTTCTATGGGGCTGAGAAAACTGTGGACATGTTTATGTGTATTTGAAATTTCAGGCTGGTCACTTCAATTCCTTGGTGTTTTTCGCATGCTCAAGCAATTTACAATACGCCAAACTATTTAACATACTTATGATGCTATTGTTATGTTTTTGGTCTTCACAACTTAAGGATACAGTTTTACATCCTATAAAACAGATCCTGTTCAAGTAAGGTTGTTATTATATTTTTGGTATTGTAAAGCGATGAAAGGACTTTTAAGACATGTTGGCGATTCGAGATTTATTATCTTGGAGTAGAAATGTTAAAGCTGTAGATATTGTTTTCTTGAATTGCTAGTTTGTCTGGAAGATTAAGGTTCTTCCTTGCAACTGTTTTTTTTTTCCTTCGAGTATATTTTATTCCCTTTTTATCTTCTTGCATCTCGATTTTTAGTTATTGGTCAATATATTCGTGTTTTGTTTTATATTTTTTAATAAGACTATTGAGCAATATTATTTAATCAAACTTTTTAAAGAGTTGAAATTGTGTTATTTCTTTTGAGCTTATCAATGCTATCCTATCCCTTTCCCCAGAAAACTAGTTGTAAGTCCTTTCAATGTCCTTATCATCTGTCTAAAAGTGTGCTGTCTATTTCATTTTCTTTTCATGTTTTTCATTTCATCTGATGTAAATCCTAATCTGTGTGCTTTTTGGACTTCTTGAAAGCTATTGCATAGAAAAATGGAAGAAGTTTCTCTAAACTCCATTATCTTGAATTTCATATTAGTTTCCCATCAGATCAAGATTGATGTTTATATTTTTGGTCATATCATTTGTAGTTCTCTGTAAGATAGAGATATTTCTCTTGTTCCTGTTTAGCAGTTTCACTTCAAATTCCCGTTCAACAAGTTTATAATAGCACGTTTGTGCAAAGGAAATTGCTTGGAAAATTGCACATATTGCTGCTATGTCTTATCAATTGCTCACCTGCATATAGTACATTTGTCCCTTTACATAAACATATCCTTTGGTAGTAATCAGGTAACAGTGTGACTTTTTTCTTTTTTATCTTTTGTGTACACAGAATAGAATAGCATTTAATATATATATATATATTGAATTCTTGATGCATTTGCACAGAACTATCATTTACTTCGGTCTAGTAGAATTTAGATTGCAACCTTTCCAACTCTTCTGTCAAGCTAGATTGTTCAAAGGGCATGAAAGAAATGTGAACTTAGAGTCTCACCTTGAAGTTCGACATCAGCATGGATGCAAAAAGCTTATCTGCAGTTCATCAGATGGTTCAAGTTGACCGCAAGCCTGCAATGCTTAGCTTCTTTGGACAGCCAAGTCATATAAACGAGCTTTAATAGACCATCTTTTTGATCTGGCCTAACATGATCCCTCCGCGCAGCAGAATGGAGATGTTGCAGGGATCGAGTAATACAACTTGAATTTTATTGTTCATCTGTGACAGTCTTTTCCTAGAGAAAGAAATATGAAGTTTAAATTCTATCTTTTAACATTGGTTGCGCATGGCATGGAAATCGGGACAGACATGCAAGTACAAGAAATTGTGTAAGTTTATTTATTGGCTTTTGCGTTTCTTTTGTTTCTTTGTTTTTTTTTCTTTTTTCACCTTCAGATTTTTTTCTATATGTAGAAGTGTATTACTATGGGCAGGAGCTTCCCATGGAAGGTTTCTGGAAGTTTCTTCATATGCTTTGTTTTCCATTCTTACTGGTTTTTTATTCTATATTGGGCTCCTATAAGGCCCATTCCTGAATAGAGCAGCAACTAAACTCCTGGTCTTGCTCTTCTGTTCAATAATTATTTCTAAGAATGAAATAACATTTTTGGATGCAATGTTTTGAAATCGTTCAGCATAATCATTCTCTCGGCAATTATTGTCTTTTGAGGATTAAAGAATCTATTTCTTTTCAATCTCTCATTTTCTGTTCTCCGGTTTGGTTTATAAGAGTCACAGAGTAAGATTGCATATTTCTAATTGTTTGAGTAAGATTTGCTGCCTATAATTATAGTTTCTGTCGCAGGGTGCAAGTGTTGGAACTACAAAGACATGCAACAGTTAAAATTGTCAACCATTCTTCTTAGCATGGAGTATCCCTCTCATTTATTAGTTGTGAAATTGATTTTTACTTCTCTTGAAGAAACTTGCCACCTATAATCTAAATTAAATTTGCATATTCAAATTATTTTTACCATTGAGAATTTTGGGGTTTTTAGGAATATTTGGCCTTATTGCCGTGAATTGAATATCAATTCTTACTGCCTTAGATTACTTCAAATTTTAGTGAGATTCACCCCAGACCAAGTGCGTGAGACAATCCATGCAGGACAGTAGGAAAATATAAGTTTCCTGTACATTTATCTTCTGCTTTTATTGAGTTAATTTAATTTAGATGATGTGGGCTGTGAAAAGATACAACATTGAGAGCCATCATCAGTTTTTTGACAAACTAGTAGTGGTTGGCGCACACATTTCGAATTCTTGTCTAGGTACTTCTAATCCTTACCTTCCACCAGATGAACGCGGATGAACGGCACACTTCACCGAAGAAAGAGCTGTGTGGGGGCATTTTCAAGTTGTGCTAAGGTACATCCACTTCTTCATGAGATGAAATTAGGAACGGTGGGAGTGGGGGGGCCGGAATTAGTATGCTTAAGAAGACATAATTATGCAACCCTTTTTCATTCTTTCATGGGGGTTGACAGTAGAGACATGACACACCACTTTCCTCTCTTTTTACAGATGCATTTGAAATGGGGCCAACATTCTCTCTCATACCCCATGTCTCTTTGCACCACCTCACCAACCGGGCACAGTTTCAAATATCTATTGGTCAAACACAATGCGATGGAAAGGAAAAACATGCTTATATCTATATGTTCTGTAACACTGCCAGACAGACTGGTAATACTGTAGAGCACATATATGGTCCTTGAACCCTCATAAAACTCTATTACTTTGCACTTGCAATTCCTTACCCTATTAGAAGAACAGAGCAACACTGTTTCTTAGCATATTTCCTTGTGTGCATTGTTTTTCAACTGCTGCATGAATATATTCTCCACCATTACCCCTTCTCTATGTCATATAAATCCCTATCCACTGGTCACTCCATTTTCTCAAAAAAAAAAAAAAAAAAAGAAATGGGAAAGGTTGAAAGAGAGAGAGAGAGAGACAGAAACCCACAAAAAAGGAAGCTTAAATATGCTCTTCTTGTATTTATGATTTTTATCATAATCTAAAAGAGATACTTTTCTTGCGTACTTGTGGTCAAGCAGGTGTTCGTGCTGTAAGGACCCACTGACTATCCTATCAAGCGACAAGAAGCGATGGGCTGAAAGGTTGAAACCTAAGAAGCCATATTGCTCTTTTGTATTGGACATAAACTTCAAGGTCTAATCACTTTGATGCTTTGAATTTGCTTTTGTAGGAACCAGAAACAAATATTATATGAATTCCAAGCACTTAGCTTAGCGATGGAAAATCGTTGCTTTGGAATCACTAAACACTTTCTTGTCATCTTCATGATTTTTAAATCTCCTTTTGGTCCATCATGTCAGGTATTTTCTTTTTAAATTAATGTTTATCCTTTGCTACATGCTACACCATAATCAAAATGCATGTTATATGCCTCAGCACAAAGTTATACATCACCAGCCATCCAATCCTGGCCTCCAAAAGTAGCCGACCAACAGAAACTTAAAAACTCATCTTATTGGTGATAACATGTGATTTGTGGCCTCAATCCCAGAAACCCATTTGCTGATTTTTCCTTTTCCTTTTCTTTTCCTGTCTCTTCCAATTTTTTATTTAATATTTCGAAGCAGCGACAATGACTTGCTAATGGTTTTTTCTTACCTAATCAGGAAGTGTACCTTAGTTGGTCTTTTGTTTGGTCTCTGGAGTCATCATTATAGCTCTGACTTCCATTTTCTTATCTACGAAACAACGTCATAATATTGGCAAAATGTTCCATAGACACATCTAATCCGAACCTCGCTTAAAGAAGATGTAGTGGTTAAAAGTAAAGATATCCTATAAAGTTAGAGATAAGATGTTTGATTAATGACTCCATTTGTTGGATAAACAAGAAGCTCCAGCTAGAACCCAGTTCTTGTTCTTAATTATCTTAGATTCTAAACCCTATTATGCTTTTTATTTAAAGCAATTTGATTTGAAATAACCTTTAATACTAATATTCAGTCATATTTTTCACTTTTCTTATATTGTAGTCTGAAAAGCAAGTTGTTGAATAAATATTCTATTAATGTTTTCTAGTTTACTTGAAGCTTAATACACTAATCCCCCAGCTCGAATTCTTCTGAATGAAGTCAATATTTAGTTAAATATAAGGGTGATCTCACTGTTGCTCGCAAAAGATGACATTAGTTCATATGAAATGAAAACAAAGCTATAGGAGTCTCTAACGATTGATATTATGACTAAAAGAGCTTCTTGTGTTGCAAATTAATGCTTGATGATTTGGATGTTCAGCATTAGCGTTTGATTTTATGTGAAGCTCTCCTGTCATAAAAATGTGTGATGCCATTTTTCACGATGTTTGGAAGCTTTTCTTTTGCTAATTCCACAGCATAAACACGTGGATAACCTGAAGTCACTGTAGTTGACTGAAAAGATTCAATGTTAATCATAAATCTTTGGGGGCACTCTTGGCAAGGGACTATGCACTCAAGCACACAGTGAAGAATAAAAGTGTACCAATAGAGCACCTTATCTCAATAAGTAACATTTTATAGTTTCTTTCACTGTATCCGATTTCTGCAGCAGCTTTGAGATACTGTTTTCATTTACATATTTAATGTCAGGTAATTGGCAAGGGGAGGCAGGCCATCATTTGTAATAATGCTGATGATGATCCTGTTGTCGAGGAAAACATGCATGGAATGAACTACGTGTCGATATGAGGCAAATTAGCTTCAAGGGAATGGAGAGAGACTGGAAAGCATCACAGAAATTAATCAAGTATGTGACCACCCTATTATGCTTGTTCTTTTTTATAGTGGAGGAAGAATTATGCATGCACACCAACTTTAAATTACTGTTCTTTTGGTCGATTTAGACGAACATTTCTTTACTCGCCCTACCAAGTTTAAATTCATTGCATATCACCGAAAGAATTTTAACATAGTTGACGACAAAAGACTCCTCTTTTTTTCTTTTTTTCCTCTCTATATGTTATTCGGATGACCACCACCATAGTTCTTCTTTCTTTATTGACTAAACATAGCATTTCAATTCTTGAACTATATACTATTTTTTCAATTTTGTCTTTCTATAATTCATACTTAATAATGTATTGAAGTATTTAGGAGACTGAAGAATGATAATATATATATTTTAGGTAGGGAATGTGACATATATTTTGTCTTATTTTTTGTTTAGTATATAGAAATATTAATAACTGTGGATGTCAGAATAGTTCCCACTTCTCAGTATATTTATTTCTGTCTGAATACGTTTTGAAACATGTTATTGATATAATAATGTCAGACATTGCTTTTTTCCCTAGTAGAGACTGTTTTTACCTCATCATTTACACAGAAGACAATGGTATTTTTACATGTGAACCTTGGCATATAAAGGAGGAACACCTAGAGATACAGCTTAATTTCATCACATGCTTCATATATTTCCACATTGTTTTTCTTGTTTGAACATGATTGTTCAAGGTCATTATTTGTTTGTTTTCTTCGTTGCTTTTTCTTGGATAATAATGATGAAAACTGCCCCCATTGAAGCAGGTTAAAGCTGAGAGACCATCAAATCTGCCATGAATTGAAAGCTACGTGTCAATTTTTGGTTAGTTCTATTTTAATTCTTATTCATCTTTCAATAAAGCTTAGATTTAGTCACTATGATAGTTTTTTTTGTTCATTTTATTAAAAAAAAGGAAAAAAAAAACCAACTATTCATACCAACATTATCTTAATAAATTTTGAAAATATATTCACGCTGTATTTAACTAATTTAGATTAAAAAAATTACTTGAAATAACTAAATTTAAGATGTAATTTCTATGGGTTGTAGTGTGTCGGTCTGTCTAAGAAATGGTTGTGTGAACCCATAATTTTGTACCCCTTCTAAGTTGGGAAACGTGAAACTCGACCTCCAAAGCTTGTTCAAAAAGCCCTTGGAAATAGTAATAATCAATCATATTAAACTAAGTTTTACATTTTTTTAATTAAATGATAGGTTGAACATGTCCATTTTGACCAAATAATATAATACACTCCACTTTTCCCCATTAGATAGATCTCTCTTCTCGTACGTCGTGTTCCGAGAATTGTAACCATTCTCTTTTTTGTAGTTGAGTTGAGCTGACTTAAGAATTTTAAGTTCAAGTTAGATGATAAATTTAACTTAAAGTATAAGATAGGTTTATAAACTCAACTCTAATGCCTCTTTTAGTGTAGCATCTACGAATTTTGGAGCTATTGTTAAAAATTTCACGAGTGAAATATATGCTTTCTTTCGATGTAAAAATCTCGAAAATTTATTGGGTTAGTGGAGGTTGCTAAGATAGTTACACTCTTGGGTTTGCATTATCATAGCCATGGTAATATGAAACCGATCCTTTATAGGTCGAGATTTGTTGATTGTTTGAAAATTGTTAATAGGTTCAAGTCTTTGTTGTAACATTTGAACATGTCTCATTTGTGGCTTTCTTTTTAATCCATAGAGTTGTAACTCTGATGCTTATGATCTAACACATTTCTGATATACAGATTGAAGGTACCTCCCTCCCTTGACCCACTGTAGCTTTGTCTAGAGATATTGATTTCTTTAATTATAGTTTTTATTCGTGTTAACTAAAAAAAGGTGATCCATAAATTTGCATGTGATTAGGCAATTGAGTATATACTCAAAACCACAATCAAATATAAATGTATAATCTCAAGAGAGTCAAAATTGGCCAGTTTCATAAAATTCATGTTACAAATCAATTAATTAACTAATTAATTAATTAATTAATACAGTCTCTTAGCCCTTCACATTGAGGGCAGCATCCTTCCTTAACGAATTGGTTTCCATTCTTCCTTTATTGATCCCATACATCTTGAATTGGTTACATGAAAATTTAAGGGACCACCCTTTATTTTATTTTCGATCTCTTAAAAAATATTTATATATATCCATTCTCTAATGTATATATAAATATTTGTTGATTTCACTAAGATTTGGTTTTCGATTCACGATTCAAAATGGTGGGTTTTTAATAGAGATGTACATAAAGAAAGATCGATTCTTTGGGATCCTTCTTTTTTTTCAAACGGAATGAACAAATATAGAATCAGACCGATTCCCTAAATGTTTTTTTAGATATTCCTTAATGTCCCGGCTATTCATGGAACGTGAGAAGCAGATGAATAGTTATCCGCTTTTGCAAGAAATCGGAGAATTTCTCGAGAATCCTACAAGATCCATTCGAGGTTTTTTTCTCCTACAGATGTGGGTTCAAATCCTTGAATCCTATGGAAAGGTTTTTTCTCCTACAGATGGTCAGAACTTCATCCAATCCCATGGAGAGGTTCACTAGAGATTAAAAATTATTGAAAAAAGAACAGAGTTCCATTGAAATTTTTTTTGGACCCGTTCAAAATGGCTCGAGCAATCCAATTAGAGTTCATAACTCAACCCAATCAACTACTTTTGGGTTGAAGTGTCAGATTATTATTTTTTAATTATTAAAAAAATCTTACCTATCCATTATACATATTATATTAATCATTAAAATCTCATAAGGTTAAATATTAAACATTTATAAGTCACAATGTATCAATCATATCGATTACGAATGTTGAGTATTTTTAATCTTTATAAAAGTATGGTAAGCTTGGGTTAGACTGTAACCTTAGAGTGGGACGAGTAGATCTAACAAAAAAAAAATGACAAATAAAAAAATTTAAATTTTCAAATTTCTCTCGTCATCATACAAAACAATATTCTAACATTACATTTTCAACTCAACTATTCCGAGTCCTCGAGCCAACTTTCAAAGATTTACATTCTTACCCCTACACATAATCAAATCTACCATTGTTACGTTCGAGTAAAAGAGAAGTATATGAATGAACCGAAAACATATAAAAAAAAAAATTATTATTAGATACTTCATAAAATAAAATTTGCTATGACCGACAATATTATACTCTTAAATGTTGGGAAAACAATATGAAGCATCCCGTTTGTTGAGGGCCTACGTGTGTGTGGGTGCACCCGCCCTCACCCCACAATTCCTCCACCACTTTAAAAGCTCAAATTAAATGGCTTCTTCTCATCGGTTTTGTTGTTCTAATTGTTTTTTTTTTTTAAATTTTAAAAAAGGAAAAATAAATAAAATAAAATGATTAATAATAAGTGAACCTTTTTGGGGATATGGTTGGGGAAGCCACGCCGACGGTCGGGAGTTTGACCGCCGCACTCCGGCCGCCCGTCCACTCAGCACGTGATCTCCAGATGGTGGTGACACAAAAGTCGCCGGTCAAACCCTCCAATTATTGGGGTCTCGACACGTGTCCCACTCCTTTCCATACATAAATCTAGTGGATCCTATCTCTAACGCCCGACCAATATGAAACGACATGTCGACTTAAATAAAACATTAAATTATCAAATAAAATATATATTTTTTCTTTCGAAACTTACAATATTACCATTAATTTTTTTTAATACTATTAAATATAAATGCAATAAAAAAATAATTTAAACTATTAAATATCCCAATTTCCGCCTCACAATTAAAAAAAAATATACTTTCTTTTCTAAAATCAAAGGTAATATTAAGAATAAAAAAAAACAAAATCTTTAGGATTTTTTTTTTAATTTTATAATTTCACTTGTACTTATTTTATCAAATATTTTAATACAAAATTTAAATTAATATCAATTTAATTTAATTCAATCTATATCAACATTTGCGTTCTAGATAGAGATTTTCATACGCTTATAAAAAAATGTTTCGTTCTCCTCTCCCACCGATGTGGGATCTCACAATCCACCTCCCTTCGGGGCCCATCGTCCTCACTGGCACACTACCCGATGTCAGCGGTGGGTTTAGACTATTACAACGAGACCCTACCCGATGTCAGCGGTGGGTTTAGACTGTTACAACGAGACCCTAACAACCTTCTTTACTACCGAAGCCAACAACAACAAACGAAGGGAGTTTTAGCTACACCCAAATTAAAATGATTTTTGACAAAAAAAAAAAAAAAACTCCAAACCCTAAATTCGAAACCGAGATCTCACAATCCACCCCCCCTTCGGAGGCCATCGTCCTCACTAGCACACCACCCAGTGTCAGCGGTGGGTTTGACCTGTTACAACGAGACCCTAACAACCTTCTTTACTACTGAAGCCAACATCAGCAAAGGAAGGGAGTTTTACCTAGATCTTTGACCAAAGAACTCCAAACCCTAAACACGAAACCGAGATCTCACAATCCACCCCCTTCGAGACCCATCATCCTCATTAGCACACCACCCAGTGTCAGCGGTGGGCTTGGACTGTTACAACGAGACCCTAACAACCTTCTTTACTACTAAAGCCAACAACAACAACAAACGAAGAAAGTTTTACCCACACCCAAATCAAAATGATCTTTGACCAAACAACTCAAAACCCTAAACCCGAAACCCTAAACTCTAAGATATTCCAGCTCAACTAATTAATCCGCACTAAACCCACATAACAAAAGTGAGACAAAATACAGATACATCCCAGCCACTGACCGAATTACATCGATACCCTCCACCTTTCAAACTCAATAAGTCAAAAACAAGTTAAACGTAAAGAACCCATCGAGATATTTCATAAAAAAAGATCGTCGTCGTCACAATTATAAGAAGAAAAAGAGGCAACAAACTCAATTATATGCATCACAACATTGATAAAAAGAGAAAAGAGGGTAAGTTAGTACCAATTATTTGGGCATTGAAAAGGCTCCAAAATGGGTTTGACACACACCACACTTATCTTGTCCCATTTTTGGGGGGAAATTTTGTAAAAAAATAACCCTAATTCATACCTTACTTTATACACTTATTAACAAAAAAAGGTCACATTTTTATTAGAAGATAAGTGTTCTTTGCATGCCAGCTAAGCATCAACCCTTTTTTGCCTTTTAATAATCCCAAGTACTAATTAATTAAATTAACCCTAATTCTTATATGTTAGATAACGAGTTGAACTACATGATATGATGATCGATTATATAGTGATTATTATAGTTATGACAAAAATTAACCTTTGAGTTTGTACGAGTGACGAAGCTAGCTCCTACATTATTATCGAGTCGAGTTTTCTATCTATTTCGAGTGTTAGTACAAGTAACTTTCGGAGTTGGTTTGTATCGAGTGAGAAAAAAGCAAAACAGTGGAAACGTAGATCAAAGAAGAATAGGGTTTTGAGGTTGTAAAAGGTCGTGGAGTTCAAAAAAGACGAGAACCTTCCGTCCCTTTGTCTAAAAACGGAAGTTGTTAAGAGCCCAATTTATTGCTCGATCAATATTTTAGATTTTTTAAGAAAAAAGACGAACTTTTCTTTTTCTAAAGAGAAACGCGTGGGAGAGAAAATAATAATAAGACAACATAAAGTACATTTTTTTTTTAACAAAAATTTACTTTTATTTAAATAGTGACTAGATGGAAAGTCAAATCATCGAGTGTGGAATTTTTTTGACCTAACGGATATAAAATATAAATGAACTTTTTTGTTATTTCATAGCTCGTGATATTTGCACGATGAGCTTTATAATAAAGTCGAGCTCTAATTTATATTAGTGGGAGAGCAATGAGGTCGATTGATATGTACATATTTGCACGAGCGTAGGGACTAGGGAGAATATTCATCATAAACATATAGTCCTTTGAGGGCTA